AGACCAGATCGTCTACGTAGACAAGGATGTAGAACGGAGTCTGGCCGGAACGGACAAACAGCCAGGGGTCTGCAGAGGAAGGGAAGAAATACAAGTCAGCAAGTGTAGCACGCAGCGTGTCGTGCCACTCACGGGGCGCCTGTCACAAGCCGTAGACGGGGCGCTGGAGGAGCCACTCGGTGCCAAGGGGAAAGGTACCAGAGAAGCCCTGGAGGCGGCGCAAGTAGACCTGCTCGTGTAGACTGCCCTGGAGGAAAGTTGTGGAGAAGTCGAGGGAGTGCAGCTCGTAGTCACACTGTGCTGCTACGTATAGCAGCGCCTGAAGAGTGGTCATCTTCGGGTTCGGGGCGAAGGTCTGAAGGAAGTCCATCCCCTCGCGCTGACTGAAGCCTCGAGCAACGTAGCGCACCTTGAAGACAGGCGACTCTCCAAGAGGGCGCTTCACCTTGAAGAGCCACCGGCCATCGACTACGTGAACCCGTGGTGAGGGAACTGCGTTGACTAAGGTACCGGTGGATCTCCAAGCTGCCATTTCCTGCTGTATGGCAGCTATCCACTGAGAGACCCAGGGTCCCGATGTGGCCTCATCGTAGGTGCGAGGGGTCGGGATATTGATAGCATCTAGGTCACCCTCAGGGACTAGTAGCATGGAACAGAGATGGGGAGCGGCCTCAGACAGGAAAACGAGCTCGAAGTGAGTGTCCTCTAGGACGTCAAGGCCAAAAGTAGCCACACCCCCGACGGTCAGAGCATAGGCAGGGTCAGAGACCAGAGCGGTGGCGTAGTCCAGGCGGCAGGTAGCGGCAAAGTCAGTGACAGCACCGACAATAGCCGACAGACTCGAGGCAGGAACGGACAGGTCGGTAACGAGAGAGGCAAGGACATGAGGGTTAAGGCGACTTGCAGCATGGAGGAAGTCCGAGAATGGAGGCGGGGCCACAGCAAGCGACAACGGAGGAGGAGCACGAGACGCGTGAGAGTGCAGCAATATTGGGTGAGAACGCGGAACAGGGGAGGTAGGACGAGCACGAGACGGACGACGAGACCAGATGTGAGACGGAGGAGTCGGGCCAGGAGAGAGGGGAGGAGACATAGGAGGAGAACGGGGAGGGAAACGAGCTGGAGAGGAGTCCGGGGGAGGAAACATGGGGCCGTGGACTGGCAGAGGAGGAGACGGTGGCAGCGAGGGAGGCAGCGATGGGCGGTCAGGGGAAGGGAGACCGAGGTGGCGAAGAGCGGACACCGGTGGCGATAGCTGCGACTGCTGCCCGAATCCAACACCAAAACCTCCAGAGACAACACGGCTCCCTCCGAGAAGCCCCACGCCAGCACCCCCAGAGCCCGCTCCAGAACAAGCTCCTGCCCGCTCCCCAGCACCCCCTGAATGCACAAACCCCAGTGGCAATGACGACAGCGGCTGCGGCTGCGGCGTCAGCGGTGGAGGCGGCTGCGGCGGGGACAGCAGCGGTGGCGACAGGGAGGCAAGACCGGGGCAGGGACAGTCGGGGGAAGAGACTCCTCCGAGCCGCGAGATTCAGCGGACTGCTCAGCAGGGACAATCGACGGGAGGGGGGTGACGTGAGACAGACAAGACGGGGCTAGGCAGGGAGGGGGTTGGACAGGGTCGACCAAGGGAGTGGGGGGCACCAAGAACTGGGGGGGAGTGACCGGGGGACCACGGTGGGGAAAGCGGTGGTAGAAGGAGACGGACTCGTCAAAACTGATGTCACGAGAGTGAAGGAACCGGTGAGAAGGCGGGTGGTAGAACTGCCAGTCCGTCGAGTCGAGGGGGAAACCTAGGAAGACACAGGGGACAATGCAGGCAATGAGCTTGTTCGTTCCAGAGGCACGAATGTGTGCAAGGCAGCCCCAGACGTGGAACACAGACGCGTCACCAGGGGACCCAGTCCAGAGGAGGGTCGGCGAAGCCTGCGTCCGCAGAGGGTGCGGCCAGAGGTTAAGCTGGTGAGCGGCGTAGCGAACGGCGAACGGCCACAAAAAATAGGGTGCACCAGCATGGATCATGGAGGTATGAGCCACCTCCATGACCAAACCGATGTGTCGCTTAGTGACCCCATTCTGTTGCGGGGAGTCCGGCAGGGTGAACGTCTGGATGATGCCCTCCGCACAACAGAGGCAAACTCGCCACCACGGTCGGAGTGAAGACTTAAGGCAGGGAGACATCGGTGAACACGTGCAGAGACAAGCCACGGAAGAAGAACGTCAGGCACGTCGGCCTTCCGCTCTAGGGGAAAGATGGTGGTGTAGCGGGTGTAGTCATAGACAAGCACTAGGAAGTAGCGCTCGTGACGCGGCCCATGGACGGGGGCAGGGCCCAAGACGTCCACGTGCAGGGTCTGCAGCTGTTCGGAGGTAGGGGGGAATGAGGAGGAGTGAGGGGCACGGCGGAGCCGGCCCTCGACACAGGGTGTGCACGGAGGCGCGGGTGAGGGGGGGAGAGCAGGGAATGACTCAGGGAGGCCTAGGATAAGACGGTGGTGGGACATGTGACGGAGACGGGTGAGGGCAGGGTGACCTAGACGGTGGTGCCACAGAAGTGACAGGTGAGTAAGCGACCGACACGAGCACGCCGCAGCAACCTGGGAAGACGCATGTACTTGGGGAGGCGTCCCAACCTGAGGGGAAGCAGTGTCCAGGGTGAATAGGCCAGACACCGGGTCCCGGGGGAACGTGGTGAGGGGGGCACCAGTGGCGGCCTTAGTACAGACAGCGTACCGCTCGTGGCCACAGAACGTAGTGGTGACGCCAAGGTCCTGGAGGCAGCCGACACCAACTAGGTTCTTAGAGAACGAGGGGATGTGCAGGCCTGTAAGGGAGCCTGGGGGAACCGCCGGACAGAGGAGAGTAGTGGAGCTACGGGCAACTACAGGACCGGAGGAAGGGTATGCAAGAGCAACTGCAGCAGGAGCGGCAAGCAACGTAAGCGTCTTGGAGTCGCGAAAGAAATACCGGGAAGCGCTGGAGTCCAGGGTGAAGGAGAGCGCGGCAGCGGCGACATATGGCGGAGGAGCGAGGGAGGACCCTAGGCTAAACAAGGCAGGGGATCCTCCGCCTGACGCAGCAGGGGAGCCTGAACTAGGCACACTGGGCACACCTACGCTAGGCAACATAGGGTAATAGGAACAAGACACACTAGAGTCATCAATATACAGCGCATACAAAGCAGAGCTAATCTCATCAATGTCCATATCAAAGATCTAAACATGACGACTGAGCAGACTGTGCCAGTTGGGGAGGTCAGGCAACGGGCCGAAGCGGAGACGAAACAGGTCGCCTAGGCGATGAAAGCAACGAGCGGGGGTATGGCCGATCTTACCGCACACGAGGCCGCGGCGAGGACCTGTCTGGACCTGGTACTGGCAGCGCCCGTCACTCTGACTACCACCAGACAACACGCCGCACAAGCGACCACTGCGACCATCGTCACCTCCAGCTCCAGGCCACCCGGGCGGGAGACAGCCGACCCTCCGCTGCTGTTGCTGCTGCTGCTGCTGCTGCTAGTGGTCCAGCTGCGGAGCCTACTGCTGCTGTTGGGGCTGCTGCTCCGGGGCACCAGCCCCAGCCCCCTCGTCAGTACTACCAGCGGGCGAGCCACGTCCACCACAAGCACCACCCCCTCCTCCGCTACCTCCGCCACGCCCAGCCTTGGGGCGGCGACCCTTACTCGGACGAAATTGCACGGCGGCGGCTGTCTCCACAGCCGGAGCTGTCTCAGCAACCGAAACCGAACCGTCGGTATAAGAGCACTGAGCAGGGGCACAGCCCTTAAAGATAGAGACTAGCACGGTACCGCTAGACTGGGCGATAGAGCGCTGACGGGTCTCTATGGCAGACAGGGTGTCGAAAAAGTCAGTGAGGGTGAGGTTTGCGGGGTGGAGACTAAGGAAGTGATCGCGGACGGTAGCAAGGTGGTCAAGGAGGCGGGTGGCAAGCAGGTAGAGGGTAGAGCAGATGGGGGGCTAAAACACACGAAGCTGAGCCTCAGTGCAGGCAGCACGCCAGGCCGTGTCTAGCGTGCGCGGTGGGCGGCTAGGTCAACGACAGTGGGGAAAGACGCAAGGTCAGGAAGAGCATGGGCAGGATCAGGTGACCTACAGAGGCAGAGGGCGGGGTGGAATAGCGTGCAACAACAACCTCTAGGAACTCCTACGCAGTCCTAACGGACCTAAAGCGGGGGAGCTCGGAAAGGGGAAGGGCATGACTAATCGCAAGCTGTGCGACAGCGTCACGCGACAACCAGACAGCACGGGCAAGGGCAGCAGCTGTACCGGACTCACGGTCACCAAAGGTGGGGTCAGCAGGGAGGGCAGCAGGGGGGTCCGTACAGGGGAGCGTACCGTCGATGTGGACGGCCAGGGAGTGGCCGTTTTGCCACTGATAAGTCAGGTGTCGCTGGAGGTCGAACTCAATCGACTGCCCCTCAGCATCAAAACGCAGGACCGAGTCTGCCATCATGGTTGCAGCAGCAGGTTAAAGACAGTATGGGGCAGGAGAGCGCGGCGGAAAGTGGTGATGTGCGGTGCAGTGCGGTACTGTGCGATGGGGGGAGGTGCATTACGGTAGGGTGCAGTGCAGGGCGGTGAAGTGCAGAGCGGTGCCGTGCGGTGCAGAGCGATGCCGGGCGGTGCTGTGCGGTGCAGAGGAGCCGAGGACGGCGGCGAGGCGTCTAGAAGACGGGGCCGCGGGTGGCAAGGCGACGGGGCCGGCAAAGAGGCGGGGCCAGCAGGGTGCGGGGGCCGGCTGGGCGACGAGGCCGGCTAGGAGGCAGGGCCGGCTGGGAGGGGGGGTGGCGAGGTGACGGGGCCGGGGGGCCGCGAGGTGACAGGGCCGTGGGGCCGCTAGGGGACGGGGCCGTGGGGCCGCTAGGGTCGTGGCCGTGGGGCCGCTAGGGATGGGGCCTCGGGGCCGCTAGGGGACGGGGCCGCGGGGCTGCTAGGTGACGGGGCCGCGGGGCCGCTAGGGGACGGGGCCGCGGGGCCGCTAGGGGACGGGGCCGCGGGTCCGCTAGGTGATGGGCCCGCGGGGCGGCGAGAGGGTGAGGTGGCCGCGGGGCCGCTAGGTGACGGACTGCAGGGCGACGAGGCGGCTAGGACCTAGGGCGGGAGCCCTAAGGGGGGGGGGGGGGGGGGGGGGGGGTGGGGACCTACCTACTCATGATACCATGTTCAGGTGAAAGAATGTCTAGAACAAGGTATACATAGGAATATTACCTAATGGGTTGTACGCCCTAAGGCACAACCCTATATAGTCTACAGAAAAATACAATATATGTTTGACAAAGTGTACTACACGAGCCTGGCGGCGCTGCTGCAGCTCGCGCAGGAGGAAGTACCGCAGCTTGATATGCTTCGTTCTGCCCTCCAGTCGAGCCTCCTGACACAGGAAGATCATGGCCATGTTGTCAGCGTATAGGACCTGGGCAGAGCTAGGCTGCTCACCCAGGTCGGTGAGCAAGAAGGTCAGCCAGCGGAGCTCCTGTGCTGCCATGGCACCCGCGTAGATCTCAGCCTCACAGCTAGACGAGGAACGGGTGGACCTCCACGAGATGGCACTTGCACCAAGGCTAAAGGAGTAGCCCTGTGAGGACCTGAGAGTCTCTGCGTTCTCTTTGTGTGCCCCGTAAGGACCACTGGTCTACGTCCTCCTAGCACTAACCCCATGCCCGATGTACTTGCTAGATAACGCAAAACCCTCTTAGCGGCCGACCAGTTTTGTGGTCGATGACTGCCTGTGGCCACAAAGCGTGCCACGATGCTGAGAGGGTATGCGAGATCTGGACGAGTGCAAGTCATTAGGTGCATGAGGCAACCCACCAGCTCTACGTAGGGACCACTAGGCTCTACGTCCTCCTCAGGGACTGGGACAGAGAGTCTGTGGTCTACTGGCAGAGGGGTGGGCTGTGCGGAAGAGAACTGAAGGCCGAACCTCTGAAGGACCTGGCGCACCAAGTGTGACTGTGAGAGAGTGATGGTGTGCTCTGCTCTGTCCCTGGAGATCTATAAGCCAAGGTTGCGGCGCAGCTCTCCTAGGTCAGTGCAGGTATGTCTCCTCAGCAATTTGGTTTTCACGGAGGCCAGTGCGTCTCTGTCTGCAGTAGCAAAGACCAGGTCGTCTACGTAGACAAGGATATAGAATAGAGTCTGGCCGGAATGGACGAAGAACGAGGGGTCACCACTGGTGCCCCCTTCACCACGTTCCCCCGGGACCCGGTGTCTGGTCTGTTCACGCTGGACATCGCGTCCTGCTCCTTGGCCGTCCACATCGACGGTACGCTCCCCTGCACGGATCCCCCTGCTGCTCTGATACCATGTTAAAGTGAAAGAATGACTAGAGCAGTGACATAATAGAGAATATAACCCAATGGGTTGTACTCTCTTAAGCACAACCCTATATAGTCTATAACAACATACAATATATGTTTGGCAAAAACCTCTGGACCTTTCATGGCTTCCTAGCTTCTCAAGCTTCTTAACATGGTTTCAGAGCAAGAAGATCCTGCTGCGACTTATCATCACGCTTCCGCAACGTACTCTTTCCCTTCCCGTGACATTCGCGTCGCCACGGCGGCCTCGCGACACTGCCGCAGCGACCTCGTCGAGCAACCATGGCGGCCTTGTCGCGCTGGCGCGGCGACCTCGTCGATTTCGTGCCGCTGTGGCTGCCACGTCGTGCTGCTATGGCGGCCCTGTTGCGCTGCCGTTGCAGCTTCGATGCGCTGTCGTGGCGTCGACGCCACGCCGTGGCGGCGTCGTCATGCTGCCGTGGCAGATTCACCGTGCCGCTGTTCCGCTTTGCTGCTGTGTCGCCGTGTCGCCGTCCCACCATGCCGCCGCGCCGCCGTGCCGCTGTGTACGTCATTATAAGCATATGATGACAATAAAAATGGTTTATTTTTATAACCACAATTATTTTAAAAAGCATTATGAAACAATTGAAAGAGTTCATGACCACGTATGATGACAATGCATAACCTTCTCTAATTTATATGTACTCAACAAATGGTAACATATTACACAATTAGTATGACTTGGAGA